ACTGAATAAACATGCATACTTTTGTGGGATAAAATTTATTTTGCTGTCAGAAAAAGTATTGTTGTCTGAAATAGTCCTTAGTAGCTCTCATTTTTCTCACACTACAGCAATTCTAACTTGATCATTTGGGGCAGGGGAGACAGTTTTCCTACACAGATCATTTTCACATATAGCAAGCAGTATATACAAGCATAGTGTGTTGGTAAGGTATGTTTTTGGTACTCCAGGGATTTTTCTGCTGCTTTCCAAACCATGTATTCATAGCACAATAAATGTTCCTTGTTGCTGAATAGATGTTTATGAATTGTTTGGTTCAAGTGTAGAAGTAATTTCATTAACTGGAGCTTACAAACACTTGTGTTAGTTTAAAAACATTCTGTGCCTTATTTTTTTCCAATAACCAATAAAATCTATTCATAGCAACATAAATGTGTGTGATGTACTGAATAGATGAATCTTTGTGTCTCTCTGTGTGTGTATGTTCATGTTCTTAGCTGGGATATCAGCAGTGCACAGAACATGAAGATGGTGTGGGGGAAAATCCTTGAATTTTGATTAGGTAGCTGCATATGCTTAGAGGATTAAGTGAATTTCAGAGTCAAGTTACTGAAATCAATAGAGAGTTTATTTTTATTTTGGTCCCATTGACTACAGTGGGCAGCAGCATCTTAATGAGGGGTCTGCTCAGAACAGGGGGGAAAGAACAGGCTATTAGGAACATGACCAGGACAGGGGAGACTACTAAGGCAAGGTTTCCTGCTCCTTTGGAATTTGCTTAAGTAAGAAAGAAAGGAAGGGAAGGGGGAAGAGGTGGGTAAAATATTTTTAATTGACATTCTTTTTCATTGATAGTATTGGCCCGAGCTGTCCCACTACAAGCCCATCAGAGTCCCTACTTATGCTACAAAAATTCTATGGAAAGTACCATTTTTTGTATTCATTCCAGACAAAACATCCAGGAAATGGCCAGGGATGTGCCAACTTCTCAGCAGATGCACAAGACTAGATGGGGATGGTGTCACAAGTCACAGAAATTGCTTAAGAATAACTTTCCGCTAGCCATTCCAAGAAATGCATCTGTGTTCTGAAAAATAGCCCACAATCTCAACATTTCAGTTAGCCATTCTTACCAAATTCACCAGTTACAGAACTGAGAGTGATGCAACAAGCTAACAAACTAGGGCTAACAAACTGTAGCTTAATCCAAACAAAACAGAGGTCCTCCTGGTCAGTTGCATGGTCGAGCGGGGTATAGGATGACAACCTGTGCTCAGTGGGGTTACACTCCCCCTGATGACAGTCTGGTGATCCTCTTTGGACTCAGCGCTTAACTGAAACAGCATCTCAAAAAGCTTGACTTGGCCACAGTGGTCCATGCCTTAGATACATCCAGATTGGATTACGACAACACACTCTACATGGGGCTACCTTTGAAGACAGCCCGGAAACTGCAACAGTTGCAAAAGTCAGCAGCCAGGTTGTTAGCTGGAGCTACTTACAGGGAGCAGACGACGCCCCTATTAAAACAGCTCCACAGGTTGCCGATAAGTTTCCAGTCCCAATTCAAAGTGCAGTTTATTACCTACAAAGCCCTAAACAGTTTGGGTCCTGCCTACCTTCATGCCTGCATTTTCCCCTATGAACCAGCACGGGCCATAAGATTTGCCGGGGAGGACCTTTTCTCGCTCCCGCCACCATCACAAGCAGGGTTGGTGGGGACAAGAGAGAGGGCCTTCTTGGTGGTGGCCCTTCAGCTCTGGATTTCCCTCCCTACTGAGATCAGGCTAGCACCCACTCTGTCCACCTTCCATAGGGACCTCAAAACTTAGATGTTCCAGTGTGTGTTTGATAATGGTTAGGCCCCTGTTCATGAATGCCCAGGCCAAATTGATGGTTAGAGTGAACTCATCACTTTACCCCAGCCCTGGCCCTATAATCTGCTTTATGCACAAGCCCATTCCCAGCCCTCTCTAATTGCCCACCTTATTCCTGATTCTTGGTTTATTGAGGTTTGTTCTGATTCATTTTAATGGTGTTTTATATTCTGTTGGTTTTATTTGTTTAATTTGATTGTTGTTTATTATGTTTTAAAATGTGTTTTTAGTTGGTTTGTGTTGGGCTTGGTCGTGCTTGTAAGCCACCCTGAGTCCCTTCAGGGAGATGGTGGCAGGGTATAAAAATAAAATTATTATTATTATTATTTTGCATCACATCCATCTAAAGCTCTGTGAGTGTGGCAAATCAGTAGGTGTGGCTTCCTGTTTTGTGATGGCTGAAGTTACTTTCTGCTTTGATCTATGATGGAGAATGTTAGCGGATGCTTCAAAATAAAGTTGCAGCCTATAGTGGAGAGTGAAGCATAAGAAAACATACTTGCAGTGACCCTTGAAATGCATGAGGTTAGTTCAACATTCAAGAAACATATTCATACAGTCACTGAGTATTTAACAATCCTTGGTTGCTTGAAGGCCCCAGAGTATACTTTGCAGGTGACAGTTTTTTCTGCTGAGGAGAAGAAACAAACTTTGTTTTCATGGTCTGAAGAGCTGAGACTTCTGTCTCTGGTCCAATGAGATTTGCCGCTGCCCAAAACTTGTTGTCTCTTAGATCTTGGGGACTGAATATGCAATTTATGATAAAATTGTTTTTTCATGCATACTGTTATGAAGAGGAAAAGAACGAAGTCTTTGGTTCTTTTATCATTGGTAGATCTGTGATACCCAAGTAAACAAAAAAAGCCTCCCCTCCCCACATTTTCCTTCATTTTTCCCTAAGCCTCTTCCCCCCCCCCCCAAAATGGAGGCAAAATACATCACAGTTTTTAGAATGAATAATAAAATATTTGAGACAAGGTGTTCATGTATTACTCTACCTTCTTTCTCAAACCTATGTATGTGACCACTCATTTCAATTCCTTACATGTATTTCTTTTTCTTATTTCTTGTCATGGAAATAATAACAACAACAACAATAATAATAATAATAATAATAATAATAATAATAATACTTTTTCCTGTCCTGCCCTCTCTCCCGGGAGAGGGGGGGAGACTCACTGCAGTTTACAGCATAAAATGGCAAACATTCAATACTGTGAAGTGCAGAAAAACAATAAATAATCGTAAACAGTTGAGAACATATTAGACAGGAAATATCAAATAATAATATAACCAGACAATAAATTAATCAAACATAACTAAAATATACAATTAGACAATATTCAGTTAAAATGGGATTCAACAATTAAAACTAACAATAGTTAAAAATTAAAAATTTAAAGCCAGTATAACAAACTATTTCCATATTCCAATTCCATTTTGCTTCACCAGCTGTGTTTATAACTCCTCCTCTTTATATGCTTGAGTGTATAAAAAGGTTTTTAATTATTTTTTAAAAGAGAATAAGGAGGGGGCAATTTTGATCTCCTTAGGGAGGGAGCTCCAGAGGCAGGGGACGACCACGGAGAAGGCCCTTTCTCTCATTCCCACCAGCCATACTTGGGATGGGAGTGGGACCAAGAGCAGGGCCTCATTCACTGATCACAGTGCCCGGGCATGAGCTTTATGTTTGCTTGGAACTATGAAAAACCATTTGTTTATTTGTTTGATTGTTATATAGCCCTATATATATGCAATTCATAATTACTGTTAAATAATCTATACCAAATTAAGCATGATACTTTCATGTCAAGCCAAATTACACATTATTCATTTTATATTCCTAAAGTAAAGTAAAAAGGAGAATGGTAAGGGAATGGGGAAAAGAAGTCAAGCAGCACTTTTACAACTGACTTTTTGTTTTAGCACAAGTCTTCGTAAATGTCAGCCTACTTTTTCAAATGCAGTACTGTACATAATAATATGAAAACCTTATATTAGTTCACATATTTATACAATGATGGGAATGGGATAGACTGTAATTGAAATGAGAAGATGCAAATCATGACCCCTCTAAATATTCAAAAAACTTTGGTGAGACAGTACATGTTTTTCAGATCTTTAGAGTATCAGTTAGTATTGATGTATTAAAGCAATACATCGGCTTACCAAATATTAGCTTCCTTGGAATCAAATCCTTCTCTGAGGACATTCTTTTGTTTTATATGCATTATTGAAGACTCATATATTAATATATGCAGTTCACTATAAAACCATTATCTTGTTTGAACCTCCAATGAGTTGGAATTTGTGAATATAGCTCTATTCAACTGTTTCTTTTTCTAATCTTCCTTTGTAATTTCCTTGTCAAAGTTTGCAATCTGTATATCCCATACTATATGTCTAAGAAGGTTGGGATGATTTTCAACTGTTTTTGTCAACTTTATCCTCTTGGGTAGAGATTTTACTATTTGTTAAATAATATATATACAATATAGAAGGACATTACTGAAATAGGATGGCATATATCATATTGGAGGAACAGCAAGTAAATATAGTTCCCATGTTGAGAGCGATGTTATTGGTTCCTGTATATTTGTTCCCAGAGTAGATGTAGAGATGGAGGTGGCATTTGGGTTTGTGGCAGGCCTTTGTCTCTGTACTGCCATGTATGTTATATATTGTGTTGTAAGTAGCTGTTTTAGGATTTGGACCTCAAGCCAATAATAAACTCATCCCAGAATTTGTGAAAAACCTGTATTTATTGTCCAGGATAAACAATGTTATGTCTTTCAGTCTGTTAAAAAGGCTAATATTACATTTCTGTATATTCTTGAAATGGTATTTTTTTCTGGAAAAAAACTAGTTTTAGCAAATGTATTCAATCCCAACATATTGTATGCTCTTTTGGAAATCTGCTTATTCCCAAACAACAACAGTCCTTCCAGATGACAACAATAGCTCTGATAAAATCAGGAATGGCCACCTTCTCTCACTGTTGTCCAGCTGAATGTGTTTCTGTATTTGCTAAATTTCATGACCATTAGGATCCTTAGGACAGTGAGCTAAACATTATACCAAAAAGCTAAATTTGATCATGCTACCTGTTCTCTATCCCTTCCACAGCTCTTATATGATAGCCCAAAAGCACGACAAGAGGTGGATCATCATTGGCGGGCTTCTGGCTGTCCCCACATCGTCCACATCCTGGATGTTTATGAAAATATACATCATGGGAAGAGATGCCTCCTAATCATCATGGAATGGTAAGAATCAATGAAGTTTATTATTACATAATTCATGTTTGGGGGTTCCAGGAAATAGTTATAAGAGCTCTATAGTGCAATATAACATACGCCTTTGTAGTAACATGGTGACTGCAAAGATTTGATGAAGTAGAGAGAATCTTATGGAAAGCCTTGGTGTGTTTCCTCATTGCACCACTCCCTGCATCAGCCCTTCCTTTCATCAGCCTGTATTTGTGAGTTTCTGTTTGACCAGAAGTCTCACCCAATCTAAAGCAGCCAATGATTTAATCCCGCCCCCCAATGTGATACTTCTGTATGAATTCTGACCTTCCAACTGCAACAGATATTGGCATGACCCACTCTGTGTTAAGAGCTCCCTGTGTTGTTTTAGAAATCTGCATTTATGTGAACTCATCCATGCCTGTGTATTAGAAGAACATCAATAGAGCCCTGCTGGATAAGGCCAAGGCACCAGCTGGTCCAGCGTCCTGTGTCCCACAGTGGCCAGCTGCGTGACTCTGAGAAGGTCACAAGCAGGGTGTGCGTGACATTTGTCTCCCTGCAGAACCCTGCTAAGGATGCATCATCTGTTCTGCTTGTTTAAACTGTTTACTTGTTTAGATTATGTGCCACCTTTCAATTAAAACATTTCCAGGATGTTTGATCAGTTTCGTCCACATAGCAAGAAGGCAAGGTGGAGCATAGGCAAGGCGTTATTCTCCTGTTTCCCTTGGGTTATGTGTGTGACAAAAATGACCATGCAGCCGCCTGAACAAATAGAAGCTGAACAGCCCTTAGTTTAGCCAAAGAGAGCAAAATAGAAGTGTGGTGTAGTTCAGTGTTTGAAATGTACAGTATCTGTTTTCAAGACTCAAGTAGCACCCACAAAGCACACTGCACCTGTCTGTAGCCAATATGAACCCCCTACTTTCTATATTTCAAAAGGAGAGAACCGGTCCGAATCCCTCTTTGAAGGTGAGAGGGTCGGTATATAAAACCTCAAAATAAATAAATAAATTTGTGTCATATGGATTTAAAGATGCCCAGTGTAACTCGCCAACACACACACATCATGTATAAACATCACTTTGTGTACTTAAACCACATAAAACAAGTCTGGAAGCATCTGTGCATAAATACAAAAGTCACAGACACTAGGAATGTTTTATTCAGGTGGGTGCTCTTTGTGTTCAAAACAGAGAGTGCTCTGTTACTTGGGGACAGCATCTGTATTCTCCTCCTTGTGTCACAAAGGGCTTGTCTGTAGTAAAAAAGAAATGATATCTTCCCACAGACTAGCCTATTAAATCAGAATTCTCCTGTCATGATGAGAATGGTATTAGAGATTCTGCCTTCATATGCAGCTCTGTGAACTATACTTCTTGTTTCCTGAACATTACACGATTAACTTTATTGTATGATCCAGCTTCTAGTATAAGAGAAGGAGAAAATCTCCTCTGTATCCATTTCTTCCTCACCATGTATAATTACATACACCTCTCCCGTGTTCCCTCTTGCTTGCTTATTACCCAAGCTTGAGCAAATCATATCATTCGTCTCTTGGTATCTCTTGTGAGGACAGTCCCTTCAGGTCTTTAATGAAAGTTCCTGTACAGACATGATCTGAAATGGTGAAGTTGGTGCCATTATCTGTTGTCCTGGCCAGTTGCCAGAAACTAGAAGGAAAGGTGGAGACAGTACTAGAGTGTTGAACACCGAGCCTGGAACAGTAGGTTTAAATGTTGATTTGATAATGTTACATGTTGGAAATTGGGGAACTAATTCATTACTACCAGCACAAATTTTGAAAAAATCTTATACTTAATAATTATACTCATTTAAAACCAGCACAGACTGTTGGATTTACAGAGAATGACAAGGTTATTGTCTCATAGAATTATTGAATCACAGAGTTGGAAGAGACTACATGGGCCATCAAGTCCAACTCCTTGCCATGCAGGAAAAGCACAAAGCAACCCCAATAGATGGCCACCCAGCCTCTGTTTAAAAGACTCCAAGGAAGGAGCGTCCATCACACTACGAAGAAGAGAGTTCCACTGTTGAACAGCAATCATGGTCAGGAAATTCTTACTAATGTTCAAGTGGAATCTCCTTTCCTGGAATTTGTACTCGTTGCTTCAAGTCCTATTAAGTCTCCAGGGCAGCAGAAAACAAGCCTGCTCCCTCTTCCTTATGACATCCTTTCAGATATTTAAAAATTGTGTTTATGTCTCCACGTATACTTTGTTGACACCTTTAAAATTTTCAGAGGTGCTTTCTCCCCAACCTGGAATTTTCCCTCAGATACAGTACAAATCCCATACAGCAATTTTTTTTCTGGGGATGCTGGAAACTCAATAACTCTGAAAACTGTCAGGCTTGGAAAAGGTGTCCTAATTACCACTTAGGTTTTATCATTGAGCTATATCTTTCATTTTTCTCTGTTTCCTCACATCCTCACTAGCATGTACAGTTTTTTTTCTGGCATTTCAAAGAACTTGTTTATTAAGGTCAATAAGGAGTGATACTAAATATTAGTAAAGAATTTAAAATTTTATTTCTGTTAAGGGACTCTGGTCCACTACAACCACAGCAGTAAAAAGCTGGCCACAAAAATCAGTCAGTGACTTAAGGATGAAGATTGCTTAAAATACATGTTTTCTGTGCCTCTGAGCATATGCAGAAAACAGTGCTGCCCAATTACTAGTTGTGTTCTGGCTCCCTACTGCCTTATCAAAATATGATCTGAAGGAATCAGTGGCAGAGTACATGTTCTGCAGATTAAACCTAACAGGGATTATTTCTGAGTAGGGAGAAAAAACTCTTGAATGTTTGAAGCAAGTGTGAATGTTGCAATTGGCCACCTTGATTAGCATTTAATGGCCTTACAGCTTCAAAGCTTGGCTGGTTGCTGCCTGAAGGATAATTTGGTTAGAGGTGTTAGCTGGCCCTGATTATTCTTGTCTGGAATTCTCCTGGTTTTGATTGTTCTTTATTTACTGTCCTTATTTTAGAGTTTTTCAATATTGATAGCCAGATTTTGTTCGTTTTCACGGTTTCATCCTTTCTATTGAAACTGTCCGTGTGCTTGTGGATTTCAATGGCTTCTCTGTGTAGTCTGACATGGTAGTTGTTAGAGTAGTCCGGCATTTCTGTGTTCTCAAATAATATGCCTCAAGTGCTCTGCAAAGGCTGACTTCTCAGGCTAAATTAATCTACAGTGCCTTTTATGTTCCTTGATTCATTTTTGGGCCTTGCTGCGTTTGGTGGTCCCTATATAGACTTGTCCACTACTAGATGCTATACAGTAGACTCTTGCAGAGGTGAGAGGATCCCTCTTGTCCTTTGCTGAACGCAGCATTTGTTGGCTTTTCTTAGTGGGTTTGTAGATAGTTAGTAGTTTGTGTTTCTTCGTCAGCTTCCCTATGCGGTCAGTGGTTCCCTTGATGTATGGTAGGAACACTTTTCCTCTGGGTGGATCTTTGTCTTAGCTCTCATGGCTTATTCTTGGTTTTGCAGCTCTTCTGATGTCTAGTGGAGTACCATTAGCTTGTAGAGCCCAGGCCAAAATTTAGCTGCTATATTTTTTGGCTTCAAGCCTGAACCATACTAAACATTTCCAGCTATATCATGCATTGAAAAAGATGGTGGGTAGAAAGCCAAAGGGAGGAACAGAAGGGGCAGATTTTCTTTTTAATAGCCAAGAAATGCAGGGAACTTTCCATTTAATTATCCAAGTGTCCACCAACAATAGACATACTACAGGATTGCATAGCATAGGCTAGCATAGGTTTAACTAAATGAATCCTAACAAATGTATTCCTTGAGTCTTTATTTATTTCCAAGTTCTGGTTGAACACTCCCTCTTACACAAGTACAAATAACACTCAGAGGAAAAATTTAGTTCTCACTACTCAGACTAACGGTTAATAGAGTTGGTAGTTAAGAAAATATCTGATTCTTTCCTAAACCAAATACAGCAATTAAGCAAATACCTTTTTATAATCTAAGTTTTCCTTTCCCAAATGTCCATATGTTTGCTTATACACCTTATAATTTTAACCCCTACAGAATCAGTTTTACACTTCTCTTCAATCATACCTTCCTTTCCTTTTGCTGCTTCCTTTATTTTTCTCTCTCATTTCTTCTAGAGTATTGATGGCATGAGAACTTCAGGGATTATTGGTAACATTTCTGCAGTCTGTTCTGCTCATTTCCAGTTGGGTCAGCAAATAGCAGTGATTCAGCTTTTTCTGTGAAGTCTGCCTATATATTAAATCATAGGCTTTAAAACTTACTGTGCTTTTTTGTTTGTTTTTCCTGATCTTTACTTTTTATAAATATTATAGTTCATTGTGCCTCTTTGTTAAATTGTACCATTTTCATGCTTGCTCACAAAGTCATCAGACCTGATAGTAATAACATCTTGAACCTGATTCATCAAATTACCTAAACAAACTTGTTAGATTTCTGTATTTTGCTCCTATATATTTACAAATTAATTTTGACCAAATGATATTATACTTAGGTTGATATTGTGCCATTTGGGGCCAATTAATAAGCATTGGCTTTCTTTGTACAATTACTGGGTTTGGTTCTACTTACAGTATATTCTGGCGTATAAGACTACTTTTTAACCCAAGGAAATCTTCTCAAAAGTCAGGGGTCGTCTTATATGTGGGTGTAGTCTTATGCATGGGAGTCATCTTAACTCTATATTTTAACTGGAAAAGTTGGGGGTCGTCTTATACGCCCAGTCGTCTTATATGCCGGAATATACGGTACATGAAATTTGATATGATGTTCTTTAACAGGTGGTAGATGCTATAATCGAATCATAGAGTTGGAAGAGACTATATGTGCCATGTAGTCCAATCCCCTGCCATGCAGGAAAAGCACAATCAAAGCACCCTGACAGATGGCCATCCAGACTGTTTAAAAGCTTCCAAGGAAGGAGCTTCCACCTCAGTCTGCGGCAGAGAGTTCCACTTTTGAACAGTTCTTCCAGTCAGGTGGAATTTCCACATTTGCACTCCTTCAGTCTGCTGGGACTTCTCCTGTTCTCCAGTGGTTCTGAAATGACTTCTGCTAGTTCCTTCAATATTCTTGGATGTAGTCCATCTGGCCCTGGAGACTTGAATTAATTTAGATAGCCAGGTATCCCAGGACTACTTCTTTACCTATTTTGGGTTTCATTTCTCCTATTATCTTATCTGCACCATATCACTCAGGTTGAATACCAATCTGCCTTTGGGAGAAGACTGAGGCAAAGAAGGTGTTGAGCAGCTCTGTGTTTTCCCTATCCTCTGTTAGCACTTCACCACCTTCTCCACACAGAGGCACTACCATTTCCTTTTTCTTCCTTTTCCTACCGACATGACTAAAGAACCCCTTTTTATTGTTTTTAATCTCTCTAGCAAGCCTGAGCTCATTTTGTGCCTTAGCCTTATAATTATATGTGATGAAGTGATGGCAAAGGTTATTTGTTTGAATTTCTCTTTGGCAATTTCCTGCCTTTTCCATTTCTTGTGCATGTCTTTTTTAAATCTTTGATTAATTAAAAGTTCGGGTTGTTTTACACTTCTTCAATTTATCTCCTTGCTGGCACTGTTTGCAATTGTGCCTTCGGTATCTCACTTTTAAGAAATTCCCATCCATCATTAACTCCCTTCTTTAATATTCCTGTCCACGGAATCACACTCCAAGAGCACATGGTCAATCCCACCTAAGGCTCCCACCACTTTGACTCCATTGACCAGATCCTCACTGTTTGTTAGGATCAGATCTAGAATAGCTGATCCCTTTGTTGTTCTACCTTCTAGACAATGAAATTGTCTGCAAAGCAAGTGAGGAATTTGTTGGACTTAGTACTCTTGGCAAAGTTTGTTTTCCAATGAATATCAGAGTAGTTGAAATTCCCCCTTACTATTATATCTCTGTTTTCTGCATGTTTGGTCATCTGGTCAAGGAAGGCTTCATCCAGTTCTTCCCTCTGGTTTGGAGATCTGTAGTAGACACCCCCTCCCCACAACTACATATTTTTATGTCCTTGTTCCCTTAATTTTTATCCAGATATTCTCAACCTGGTTTCCATGATTCAAGTCTAGCATCTCTTCTCATGTGTAAATATTTTGACATATAATGCTACTCCACCCCCTCTCCTGTTTGATATATACATGAAATACGTTATACCCCTCCATTGCTACATTCCAAGTATAGGACTCATCCCACCAGGTTTCAGTTATGCCTATAACATCGTAACTGTTTTGTCATGCTAAGAGTTCCAGCTCATCTTGTTTATTCTCCATGCTCTGGGCATTAGTGTAAAGACATCAAGCCCATGGGACATTCCCCTTTGCTGTTTATTTGAGATTATTGTCCCCTTGCTACTTGGTACTTGTTGTGTTTGTCCAACCCTTAGTCAAACATATGTTTCATTCAGAAGCAAAATCATTACCATCAACCTGAGCAAAGCCAGATAACTTTCCAGATGTACCATAAATACTCAGCTATAAGTCAATCTCATGTGTAAATCAAGGGAAGGTTTTGGTCCCAAGATTAAGAGATCTGCTATGACATGTGGATAGGTTCAGAATAAAACTTATGGGCATATAACAAGGGATGCAAATGAGTACATGTGCACAGAAGCAAGTTGTAGGACCTTTTTGGTAGCCTCAGCTTCCTCCATCCATCCCCCCTGAGTTGAGTGGAGAAGGCCCAGGAGGGGTTTGCTGGGTTGCTTTTATATTATCTGTATTTTTTACCAAACCACCACCAGTATGGCCTCCTCAGCAATTCCTGAAAAAATATCTAGACTGTGATCGCTGTTAATACAGCTATTATGGATACCAACATTGACCTGTGGATCAGTCAATTCAGGCTTACAGAGTAATTTTTTAGGTGAAAATTTCTTAATGTATAGTCACACACAAATATGTGTATTTATGTGTGTGTGTAATTTGGTGCAGGGCATCAGGCTACAGTCACGAGCAAGCCACTTACTGAGACTATCATCTTATGTGCTGTTATGCAATTTAAATGCTGTTGAAGTTAATTATACTTAAGTACCCTGTGTGTAAAGTGCTACCTGGTCATTTTATTGCCTGTATTTTATGAGTCTTCATTTCCCAGAGCTTACAAGGCCAAAGAGAGGAGCTGCCTCTGCTTATGGGCCTATACTTTTTGGAGATAGCTTTCATACACCCTAATCTACATAGCCAAGTGATGGGGGATGGTGGAACTACAGTCCATTATATCTAGAAAATACATCTTATCCAGTCCTAACTATAGGAGATGTCGAATCCAAGCTTTTACATGTCCAGAGTACCTTGTACTGCTTCAGATTACCACAAGAAGTGCATAATATGAACTTCTGGTGGTAATCAGAGTAAGATGCTTTTGGAAGTTCAGCTATGTCTCAAGATAGCCTTTCACTTAACTGCTTCAGGTTCAAAATCTCAGCAATCAACAGGGGCAACACAAGCCTCTAGGTTTCATGGATTTTGTCAAGCAGTGATGCTTGCATTACATCTAGACCTGCACCTGAGGTATGGATGTGGAAGGGAAACAGCTTTGTGACTGGATCCTTGCACATTCACTTTCCAGGCATCTCAAAAGTTCCAGAACTGCCCCAAACTCTAAAGCTTCATAAGCAGGAGAATTTACACCTGTTATCCCACACTTACATAGGAAGTTACTTTCTTTAAGTAACAAAGTACAAAGTATTTGATAAAAAGATACATTATATCTATCTCCAATGATTTACCCAAACAGCTTGCAAGGAAATGATTATTGGTTTCACTACATTAACCTTTGGGCACCTTTTAAGAATAAAGACATTAATGTTTGAAACAAGCAGAAGGTATGAAATGCGAACATATCAGGCCCATGAAAATAAACTAATGAAATGGTCTGTTCTCTGCTTATAGCATGGAGGGAGGGGAGCTGTTCAGCAGGATCCAGGAGCGAGGAGACCAAGCATTTACAGAAAAAGGTAAAATGTCACTTTGATGTGAACATCCTTTTTTGGAATGACGATGTTAGAAAGAAAAATTGACCTCTGAGCATATGTGCTAAACTTTGTAGAGTGTTTATTTTGTTCCATTTTAAACTGATATTTCAAAGGTATTTCATTTTTATTTCTTGACTTTCAAACCAGATGTAAGTGGGCACAGGCTGCAATCTGTTATCTCATGGACACAAGAAGTAGAGGAGCAGTACATCCTCTCAGACTCTGGTGAAATCCTCCCCTCTCCTCTCAGGCTGTAAATGCTGTAGTGATTGTTATCCAATGCAGCCAGGTCCCTCCCGTCAAAGAGTACCCTCTCCTGTGTCTTGCTAGGAGCACTCAGCAGTTACAGTATATTCTGGCGTATAAGACTACTTTTTAGCCCAAGAAAATCTTTTCAAAAGTCAGGGGTCGTCTTATACGCAGGTGTAGTCTTATGCATGGGAGCTGTCTTAACTCTATATTTTAACTGGGAAAGTTGGGGGTCGTCTTATACGCCCAGTTGTCTTATATGCCGGAATATACGGTAGTTTCTTTCCCAACTACCTTCAAAATGTGCGTGAGAGGCGGAGAGGTTAACCAGAGCTTTTTGCAGGAAATTGCACAACTAATGGCCAAAATTGTGCAGTCTTTATTTTTAAACATTTTTTCACACAAGACCAGCATTGTTACATATAGGCTATAGGTTAAACACAACATAATAGTAAATAATATGGTATAATCTGTTGAACGCAGGAAATATGTGCGTTTCTGTCATATCTATGGTTGCCCTGTGAGCTAGGGACCGGTGAGTAGCAGAGCTTAAGGAGGAGTGAGAGGGGCTGTCATTTGCAAAATAAAAACACAGCTGTTGGGACTAATTTTAGTTTTTCCCTGTCTTGATACTAACCTTGTAAACAAATAAGCTAGCTGCTAGTCAGAAACATTGCCTAGTTTCATTTCTCTGAGGCATGGTGGGAATGTTAATGTGACCTTTCTTTAAAATTATGTTTCCAGAGGCCTCTGAAATAATGAGAGACATTGGAACAGCCATCCAGTATCTACATGGAATGAATATAGCCCATAGAGATGTCAAGGTGAGGCTTGAAAGTGCCTTGGTGGAATAGAGAAGAAACTGAACAATACAAGCAAATGGCAAGAGCTGATTTATACAGGTCATGTTGCTACATGGAGATGAAAAGGCTTCTTCCCATTATAAATTGTGTAAAGAAGCAGGAGCCAGGAACTAAAGTATCTTCTATATATGCAATTATTTGACAGCCCAGAGCATTTTAAAAAGCCATGTCAGAGAAGATCTAATTATTTAAAATCAGGACAACCATCTCATAATCTATTGAAACAAATGCACAAACAAGGCTACTTTACCTATCAACCTAGAGGAAAGGAATAGAGATTACTATGAAGCAGAACTTATTCCCAGAAGACTTTTCTGTTTAAATTCATTTTATCTTTCTGTCTTGATGCCATTACAGCCAGAAAATCTGCTTTATACATCTAAAGAGAAGGATGCAGTGCTAAAACTCACAGACTTTGGGTTTGCCAAAGAGACAACAATACAGAATGCCCTGCAAACTCCGTGTTATACTCCATACTATGTAGGTGAGTCTGTGTTTTCCACTCAGTTTCACATAGTTATTTTGAAGATTGTGGTGTGGGAGGAAAAGTGTAGTGTTTTTGAAAATATAGTTTGCTTTCACTATTGAGCCCCAGCAAATGTCTGATTTCAAGCAGCTGTATTCCAGGAATAAGGGCAATAGTTCAGCAGAACCAAATGCAAATACATGGCCTAAAAACAGACAGAGTACATGTATCAAGACAGCAGTCCAGGATCTGGAAAGCAGAGGCAAGTGTCTAGCCAAAACTGGTCAGAAGGTCAATTTCGAGGGTGCACATTGAGAACAAGGGGCAGGAGCTCGGCTAGGTCATATCTTTGGACTTACTACAAGATGATTGACTGAAGGGCAAGCTCTGAGGCTTTACTGGGCCTGGAAGACAGACTTTGGATGACATGGCAGACAACCCCTCAATCAGACAGATGGCTGTGATTCTCGGATCACAGCCTTTGGGGCTTGGAATTGAAAACAACAAAGATTCTGAGGTTGCCAGATTTATGGTGCCAATACTCATGAGTGTAGAACAGTGGCTCAAGATCCTTGCCACTTTGCACCCACACAAAATATAAAACAATGGTAAATGCATGTCAGATTCCAGTGGTTCTGAAAGGGTTTAAATAGGAATATATATATAACAACAAGCATTTGTTGTTCTGTAATCAAAATGAGAAACGCTGATCATGTGCATTTGGTTCTCTTTCCCACCCTGCTCCATGCTCCACAGCCCCAGAAGTCCTTGGTCCAGAGAAGTATGACAAGTCCTGTGATATGTGGTCTCTTGGTGTCATCATGTACATTCTGTAAGTGTGAAGTGGGGAGAAAAAATATTAATAAAGCAAAGCTCTTGATATGTCAGACATAAGCAGTTGCTTGTTATTGCAACCCACATCCATTCCTAATGCCAATGGCACCTTAGCAGTATTTTCATTTAATCTGCACTAAGAGAAATTAGTCACTGGGTTATTACTCACTACATCTGAATAATGAGTGGCCATATGTGACTCTACATGGGATCAAGGAGGTGGGGAGGTGTGGTGTTTTCCTTCTTAGTGCCAGCCTTTCTCTCTATGTCTTGTGATTGACAGCTTGTGTGGGTTCCCTCCATTCTACTCCAATACTGGCCAAGCCATTTCTCCAGGAATGAAGAGGAGAATTCGGATGGGGCAGTATGGATTTCCAAACCCTGAATGGTCAGAGGTGTCTGATGAAGGTAAATTAAACTAATGCTTTTCTCTCATATACATGCATTGGTGATGAGTGAAAGAAGTTTGATACACTGGATCTTCTGTGGAATGATAGGACAGCGTATTTGAAATCTATGAGAGTATAAGGTTTTATTTAAACGGTATAAAATTCAAAAAAAGTATAGAAAAAGTACTCAGCATTGTAGAGAAAATATTTATGAACCCAGAAAACAAATTATAAAGCCATACATTAATATTGTTTTCAAACACTGTGACTTCATCCCCTGTACTGGTATTATTCATTCATTTATTTATTTATTTGCTGTATTTATATCCCACCTTTTTTAGCCCTGAGGGGACTCAAAGAGGTTTACAACATATTAATGGCAAAAATTCAATGTCAACATACAGTAACACAAAGAAATCATAATAACTAATTACTACATATACCTTCGACTTAAAATCATTAAAACCAATAAGAGTGAACTTGATGGAAACACCAGGGCAAAAAAGAGAAAGGCAACAATGTTTCCAGTTAACAAGTCCTATATCTAGGCAGTAGGCAACATTGCTGTCTGACATTTTCTTTACTCTTGTAGCAATTTAAATATGTCATGCTAGTGCCTGGTTGACATACACTGAAACATCAGCAATAGAAATGGTTGCAAATGTGATGTTCCCTAAAGCAGATTAAGTGTTCAGAGATGAAGCAGCATGTGCACAGCGAGTAGTTCATTGACGCACCATGTTAAAGATGTTCTGCTACCTACGGCTAGCTGTGTTGACATTGCCATATGCATCTGATTGTTGCAGCTGACATACATACAAGGTGAGACAGACGTTTATCTCTCAGAGAAGCTGCAGCATCTACCTTGATAGAAGTCACATCGTCCTGTTACCGCAAGGTATATCCAGACAGGAAGGTCCTGTCAGCTATCAAGCACCAGAAGTGTCACACTCCCTAATCCTCATACAGACTAGAAAATCCTGTTTCTTTGTGGACAGAAGTTCTTCACTGTCTCCCTTGACCACATGTGGGGAATACCTGTCATGTGGAGAATACCTGTAGACCTGCAGAGGTTTTTGCACTACACATCCTATCAGTCCAGCTACTGGCCATGAAGGTTGGGGCTGATGCTCATAAAGTATATGACTAATTGGCAGTGCCAACCCTACCATTAGCCAGAGTGGCAGCCAGCAGCAGGTTATTGGATGAGATAACTGTGTGTGACATGTAACCTCTATTCATTTTCCAAGCTTCCCTACTGCCTTCATGCAGAAGATACTGGACCATCACTAGTGTTGAAAGAAGAGTCAGCTAAAATAGTAGATCCAGGCAGAAGAATGTCTTGGATTGGCCCTGCTCACATGCTGCAATATTTAATAAACTTGGAAATGTATAATTTTTAGAGAGAGTGGGAAGGAACATTTGGAGAGATTCCTCCCCCAACCCGGGACATCTGTGGTTTGCTCAGTCACCAATTCAGTTGTTAATCATTGCAGTCATTATTGGGGATGAATCTTCTTTCCTCAATGTTGTTGAAATGGAATAGACTGCCTGATTAAGATGCACATTAGCAGAGCTACAAATGCAGTACATCCCCATGTGGTCCAAGAGTTTATTTTAGGGATGTGAATCAATATTTCAGATAATGTTTTCTTTGTGCAAATCCAGAAGCATATGCAATTTTTGAATTTTCAGTTCCTGCTAATCTGTTATGTTAAAATTAGATGTAATTAGGCTGCACTGAAGGCTCAGAAAATGTCAGAAATTCCAACATTCTTCTTGAAAAAGCAGTCATCCAGATAAATGTTTTCACCCACCTATGCAATTAAATCTGAACATGTGGAAGAGTGGGATCACACATCCACTGACTTAGCCTCCTCCATAGGTGCGCACCTGAGATTTGTATAAATGTGATTGTGGAGATGCGAACTCACTCTCCATTCAAGTCTTTGCTTTTATAGACTGACCACAGAAAGAGTCATTATGTGTAAGCAGATTGGATTGCTGTGAGTTTTCCAGGCTGCATGGCCAAGTTCCAAGAAGCATTCTCTCCTGACATTTTGCCCACATCCATGGCAGGCATCCTCAGAGGTTGTGAGGTCTCACAACCTCTGAGGATGCCTGCCATAGATGTGGGAGAAACGTTAGGAGAGAATGTTTCTGGAACATGACCATACAGCCCGGAAAAGTCACAGCAACACAGTGATTCTGGCCACACAAGGCATCAAACATCTCTGTTGGAGAAACTGTAAGCAGATTGCTGATGTTGTATGCCTTCAAGTTGTTTTTACTTATAATGAAAACAACCCTTCCATGAGGCTTTCTTGGCAAGAATCTTTCAGACAGAGTTTGCCTTTTTCCTTTCTCTGAAGCTGAAAAAGTGTGACTTGACCAAGATCACCCTATGGGTTTCCATGAATGAGCAAGGATATGAACTCTGTTTTCCATTGTCCTAGTTCAACACTCAAACTACTACTCGGTACTAGCTATACTCATATATTATGGGATTCGATTCCAGAGAAACTTTATAAAAGACAATATCAATTCTTTTGACCTAAGCATACCAACATGGAAGCAGCCAATTCTGTTTATCTCAGATGGAATTTATTTTTGTCATTAGGATTGCTGTGTCAAATGTGGACCTTAAACAGAGGGATGGGGGGAATTTTATGATCCTTTGGATGTTGTTGATCTGCAACTCCCAGCATTTCTCGCCAGGAGCTATGTTGTCTCAGGCTGCTGAGATACCTGTGCAATGTCTGACATGCTCCACAACTTTCCCCTCTGATGTATAAAAAAATTCTCTGAGAGACGCACTGGAAGCCATGGTTATGTCCCAGTAAAATGAGTCTGTTGAAGTCTTTATAGTCTTCCCTTTCTCCTCCTTCATACTTTTGATTTCTCTGCAAATTGCTATTAAATAAAGTGTGTGTGTGTGTGTGTGTGTGTGTTCATGCATGTGTGTGTTCCAGAGTCATGTGTAGGTGTAAAACTATTTTCTAATTTGACAGCAGAAGAAAGGTTCAAGAATTTAATCCATTTTTTTTCAGTATCTTATTATTTTTTCTGAATTTGGGGGGCTTTTGTTTTCCATGTTGATTTTCTGTTTTTGTTGTTTTCCGTCAGCTAAGCAGCTAATTCGCCAGTTGCTGAAGACAGACCCAACAGAAAGAATGACAATTTCTCAATTTATGAATCACCCTTGGATTAATGTAAGTCCTGCCATGCGTGAGAGAAGGGTACTAGGTGGCTTACTGTGACAAGGGGGGAGTAGAACTAACTTAACCAGGATTGAGCCCTGTTTACAATTTCTCCATCACAGCGTGAGGGAGCACTTGGGGATAAAAATGATCTCTCTCCCTGTGAGTGGCAGTGAAGTACATTACACCCCCATCCCAACTGCTCTCAGCTGGCAGTTGCTGTTCGTTGCACCAAGCGCACATACATTTTTCTTCACTTATAAAAAGCTATGTTACCTCATCAGTGTAGGATTTATGGAGGGCTATTATTAGGTATGCAAGGCACCATTGCGCTAAACTGTGTTGATGTGAAAAGCGAACCCACTGCTTTGAGGGCATTCTCAGTCTTTGGCACAGATCTGCTGCTAATGTTAGGGACAGTGAGTGCAGCAGTGGCGGAGGTTTATGTGCAGCACTTTGACCGAACAACACCAGAGGCTGCTTTTATAGGAAAGGCTAACTAAAAGGCTGTGGCGGTTCAGCCTTCATTGTGCAGCACTATTCTTGGCCTCAAGCAGAAAACAAGCCGCTACTAAAGCTACAAGCCTGAAAAGTTTCAGGAGATCTCTTCCCCATCTTGCTGAGCAGCGGGTCACCAGAGTCTTCTGTGTTAATTTTGTCTGTCAGATTTCTGTCCCCTGTTTTTATTAAGGCCCTGGGTGGCTCTAAATAAGTTTCATTTATATTTGTACTTAATTATTTTTCAGAGAAGGATAAATTTATTTATTTATTTATTTTATTTACTTTATTTGTATACCGCTCCTCTCAGCCCTTAGGCGACTCGGAGCGGTTAACAGCAACAGTTTCAGTATACAAAGTACAAGGTTATAGGGTATTTAAAAGCAATCACATAACAAGTTAATTAACAGTAAACATCAATACAACAATATATCAATACAACAATATAACAAATCAATCAGACTTAATCAATCAAACTTAAATATATTAAAAGTCCTTAAATAATCTGTGAACTACAGACTTTGAGAGCATCTTTCAGGTAATTGTAAGGCAATGTATTGTCGAAGGCTTTCATGGCCGGAATCACTGGGTTGTTGTAGGTTTTTTCGGGCTATATGGCCATGTTCTAGAGGCATTTTCTCCTGACGTTTTGCCTGCATCTATGGCAAGCATCCACAGAGGTAGTGAGGTCTGTTGGAACTAGGAAAAAGGGTTTATATATCTGTGGAAAGACCAGGATGGGAAAAATGACTCTTGTCTGCTGGAGCTAGGTGTGAATGTTTCAACTGACCACCTTGATTAGCATACAATGGGCTGACTGTGTCTGGAGCAAACTTTTGTTGAGAGGTAATTAGATGTCCCTGCCTGCTTCTTCTCTGTTGTTGTGCTGTTGCAATTTTAGAGTTTTTTAATACTGGTAGCCAGATTTTGTTCATTTTCATGGTTTCATCCTTTCTGTTGAAATTGTCCACTTGCTTGTGGATTTCAATGGCTTCTCTGTGTAGTCTGACATGGTGGTTGTGAGAGTGGTCCAGCATTTCTGTGTTCTCAAATAATATGCTGTGTCCAGGTTGGTTCATCAGGTTCTCTGCTATGGCTGACTTCTCTGGTTGAAGTAGTCTGCAGTGCCTTTCATGTTCCTTGATTCGTGTTGTGAGGCATCTTTTGTGATGCATCTTTTTGGCCCTCTGGCCAGTGATTCATGCTAGACAAACTTCGTCCTCCCCAAGCATTTCTTTATTTTACCAAAGTAACCCATTCCAACCCCCTTCTCACTCCCCCCACCCTCCATCCCACTTCCATGTTCAAGATGTGCTTGGTACTGTTATTATATGGATTACTTTGGAGGTTTAGTTTAGGGGCTTTGTTTTGCTTTAATCATATCATAAAAAACGATTAGCAGCTGCTTCCTTTAATAGATGCCTCAGCTTACTGAATGCAACAGATTTGTTCCTTGCAGAATCATTTTAATTGATATTAGGCCAACATGAAATGTAAATACCTTGCTTAGGTTCCAGCAATGTTTGATGTGGAGCAAGCACAAATTAAAAATGAGAAGTTTACAGAAATCAAGAATTAACTGCTTCACATCCTGAGATTTAAATAAAATGTGGTTGAAAAGAGAAGTGCCTTGAAAGCTAGCAAGCTCACGTAGTATACAAAGGAATTATGAATTTCCTCTCCTTGGAGACACAGAGGGAGCCCTGGCTGCCAAAGCCCAAAATTAGTGGTCAGTCAATACTTTTTGCTAGAGCCAACTAAATACGTACAAAACTGTGGAAAACTTTCAAAATTTCCAAATCTGGGAAAATATTACACACAACAACAACAAAACCCAGGGAGGCGGGCTGATTTGATGTTGAAAACATGATTCCGCATGTTCAGAATTTTAAGATAAAGGGATGAAGAACACCCAACTGTAATTGATTAATCTTTAATAAGTATTCCACAGAATTCAGGTTACATCTAGGACAACGGGGATAGACAAATACATAATAACTGTCATACTTTTTGTGTCTCATAAATAGTTACTTTCTGGTAGTTACTTTATTTATTTATTTATTTTTATTTAGTACACTTGTATACCGCTAATATCTCAGCCTAAAACGGCGACTCATTGCGGTTTACAATATTAAAAACAACAATATTCCAATAAAAATATAAAACACATACATATACAATACACAGTATTGGGCCACCAATACAGACCAATGCATCTCTTAACTTAAAATCATAATCCAATTTCGTTGTCTGCGATTACCAGTCCTTGATCAAAAACTTCATCGCATCGGATTAACCGAATGCTTGCTCGAACATCCATGTCTTCAGTTTTTTTCGAAATGCCATCAGCGAGGAGGCTGATCTTATCTCTATAGGGAGGGCATTCCAAAGCCGCGGGGCCACCACAGAAAAGGCCCTATCTCTCGTTCCCGCCAGCCGCACCTGTGAAGCAGGTGGGATGGAGAGAAGGGCCTCTCCCGAAGATCTTAGGGTCCTGGCGGGCTGATAGGCCGAGATACGTTCGGATAGATATGTTGGGCCAGAACCGTTTAGGGCTTTAAAGGCCAATGCCAGCACTTTGAATTGGGTTCGGTAGCTAATCGGTAGCCAGTGGAGCTGGTACAGCAGAGGAGTTGTATGCTCCCTGCGCCCTGCTCCTGTTAGTACCATGGCTGCCGCCCGTTGGACTAGTTGGAGCTTCCGAGCCGTCTTCAAAGGCAACCCCACGTAGAGAGCGTTGCAGTAGTCAAGGCGGGATGTAACCAGAGCGTGGACTACCGTGGCCAAGTCAGACTTCCCAAGGTACGGTCGCAGTTGGCGCACAAGTTTTAACTGTGCGAATGCTCCCCTGGTCACCGCCGAAACCTGGGGTTCCAGGCTCAGCGATGAGTCCAGGATCACACCCAAACTGCGAACCTGCGTCTTCAGGGGGAGTGCGACCCCGTCTAACACAGGCTGTACCCCTGTACCCTGTTCGGCCTTACGACTGACCAGGAGTACCTCTGTCTTGTCTGGATTCAATTTCAATTTGTTCGCCCCCATCCAGACCGTCACAGCGGCCAAGCACCGGTTCAGGACCTCGACAGCCTCCTTAGTAGCAGGTGGAAAGGAGTGACAGAGATGGACATCATCTGCGTACAGATGACACCGCACCCCGAAACTCCGGATTCTCCCAGCGGCTTCATGTAGATGTTAAACAGCATGGGAGACAGTATTGAACCCTGAGGAACCCCACAAGACAAAGGTTGTGGGGTTGAACAGGAGCCCCCAGTAACACCTTCTGAGACCGACCCTCGAGGAATGACCGGAGCCACTGCAAAGCAGTACCTCCGAGACCCATTCCCGCGAGGCGTCCCAGAAGGATACCGTGGTCGACGGTATCGAAGGCCGCTGAGAGGTCGAGTAGCACCAACAGGGACACACTCCCCCTGTCGAGCTCCCGACGGAGATCATCCACTAAGGCGACCAAGGCTGTCTCGGTACCATGCCCCGGCCTAAAGCCAGACTGTGCCGGATCCAGATAATCCGTGTCTACCAAGAATACCTGGAGTTGTGAGGCCACCACACGTTCCAGGACTTTGCCCAAAAAGGGGAGATTGGAAACAGGCCGATAGTTGACGAATTGAGTGA